GCCCCACTCTGCTTGTGTGTGTACACAACGGAGATGCAGCGTTCTCTCGTCATCTACCTCTTATTTTCGGTTCTCTTGACTCTTAATTGCTCCAGCCACACACACACACACACACACACACACACACACACACACACACACACACACACACACACACACACACACACACACACAACCCCTGAATGATGGCAATTGGTGCATCATGTTACTTGCTTCTTGCTTCTTGCTTCTTGCTTCTTGGTTGTTTCGACATGGACATAAACGATTGGCTGCTTCAAAGCCACAAGCTGATGACAAAACAAGGAAGCACTGGCTGGAAAGCAACAGCTGAAGGAGCGAAAGACAAAGGGGGGTGGGGACAGGGCAGCAGGAGTACAGATGCACCCACAATCCACAAACACATAACAGGACATGCATGACGACACCTAGCTCGTTCACACACACACACACACATACACGCACATACACCACAGCAAGCATTCGCTCACACACACACACATACACACACACACATACGCACATACACACTCGCGACACAACCACACAACCACTCACTCACTCACTCACCACACAACCACACAACCACACACACACACACACACACACTCACTCGCTCATACTCACGACACACACAAGCACAAACAGAACAAACTAGACGCTACCAGGTTCGGGCGCTTCATCGTGGCCAGGGTACAAAGCAAGCATCTTGTGCATGCCTTCGCGGAAGGCCTCGACATTTGCCTTGATGATGGCCTGTTTGGACTCAAAGAGCGGGGTGCCAATGACACAGACAAGCATGAGGTGCTTTGTGACGTGGCGCAGGTACAGCGTCCAGTTGCGCACGGGGACGACGCCGACGGTCTTCTCGTCATAGAGGATGGACGGCGCAGTCTCGCCCTCGCGCTTGCGACGGAACACGCCAGACACGTCGACAACAAGGTCGATGCCATCCGAGCACGCCTCGTACAGGCCAATGTCCACGGTGCGGCTGTCGCTTGCCACGTAGATCTTTGTGGACACGTCAAACAGGAAGGCCTTGATCATGTTGGAGCGGCCGGCGAGCGTGTCGAGCATGCCCTGCATGCTGGGGAACTGCGGCAGCAGCTTCTGTGTGATCTTGCTCATGGCCTCGAACACGGACACGTCGAAAATGCTGGTGAGGTAGAAGCTGATCTGCACGTCGACGCCGTACAGCCCGTCGTGGACGGCCTCGTTTAGCTGCTGGGTGATGACGCGCTTCTCCTCGGAGCCGATGGTGTCGGCCTTGTGGATGAGCACCTCAAAGTTGATGTTCTCGTTGATGTTGTATGCCTCCTGCACCAGGTTGCACAGCAGCGCGGTGGCGGGCCCGATGTTCTCTGCCGCGTCCAGCACAAACACCACTGCGCCCAGGTTGTCGAAGAGGTCCTCGCCGCGGATCATGGGGTCCAGCACGTTGAGCTGGCCCGGGAAGTCGACAATCTGCAGGTTGAGGAAGGATGTGGAGGGCATGCTGTCGTATGTGATGTCGGATGTAGTTTCCAGGAACGTGGTCTCGTTTGGTGACAGCCGGTGGTACACCACCCGTGCGATGGATGTCTTGCCGCTGTTGCGCAGGCCCACCAACAGCACGCGCGGTCGGATGTCGCCGTCCACAACGCTCAGCTGGGACCGGTCCTCGTCCTGCTCATCAATTTGAAACGGCATCACTGCGGGGCCATCCCCATCACCACGATAATCATACGCCATGGTCGTTGATGCGTGTGCGCGTGTGTGCTGGTGTCGGCGTGCGTGTGTGTGTTTCTTGTGTCTCTCTTGTGCCGATGTGTGCGTGTGTGTCTGCGTCGATATGTGCTCCAGAAGCGCTCACAAAAACTGCACACGACAACACAAGTTTCAGGCAACACACGCTCTTCTTGTGTTCTTTCGCGTGTCAAGTTGTTGTTGTACTTTGTGGTCGCTCCACTGCAGGGAGGTCAACTCCGGGCACAGAGATAACGACGTGGAAGGGGAGAGAGAAACCGATAACCAAGGAACAACAGAACAAGGCAGAAAGCGGCGGGCGCAGTGAAGAAGAAGAAGAACAACGACAGGCACCACCAGATCATTCAATGATATGTGTGTCAATGAATGCGACAACACGCACGCACGCAAGCAGGCTCCCGCAAATAAAAATGACTATGACACTTGAAGTTGGCCGTCTCAAGACATGTTATTGTTGCCGAGTCTCACTTCAACACACAAGGGAAGAAGAAGGTGACAACAACAACAAGCTGCAAGAGAGAAAGAGCCAGACATCAAGGACCAGCACAGGAACAGCAAGACGCGCATGCACAAAGGCAGAGGGGCATACACGGAAGAGGAAAACGCACAAGCAGAGCGAGGAATGCCAGATTCATGAAATCAAACACTCAGCGCTTACTCATGTCCGTCTCCCGTCACCCCAGTGCACAAAGTGAAAGAAGCATCAAAGACGACAGAGGGAGAAAAGTGAGGCGAACGAACAAAAGACGGGAAAAAGTTGCAATGCAAGCGCCGTGAGCAAACCTGTGCAGCAGAACAAGAAAAGACTGCGTGCACAAGTACGTCACGCGACCCGGACGGGGGGCCATACGCTTAGTCATCGTACTCCTCCTCCTCCTCGTCGAACTCGCCCTCCTCCTCAGCGGTGGCGTCCTGGTACTGCTGGTACTCGGAGACGAGGTCGTTCATGTTGGACTCGGCCTCGGTGAACTCCATCTCGTCCATACCCTCGCCAGTGTACCAGTGAAGGAAGGCCTTGCGGCGGAACATGGAGGTGAACTGCTCGCTGATGCGCTTGAAGAGCTCCTGGATGGCGGTGCTGTTGCCAATGAAGGTGGCAGACATCTTGAGGCCGCGGGGAGGAATGTCGCAGACGGCGGTCTTGACGTTGTTGGGGATCCACTCGACAAAGTACGAGCTGTTCTTGTTCTGGACGTTGAGCATCTGCTCGTCAACCTCCTTCATGGACATGCGGCCACGGAAGATGGCGGCGACGGTGAGGTAGCGGCCGTGGCGGGGGTCGCAGGCGGCCATCATGTTCTTGGCGTCGAACATCTGCTGGGTGAGCTCGGGGACGGTCAGGGCGCGGTACTGCTGGGAGCCGCGGCTGGTGAGAGGAGCAAAGCCAGGCATGAAGAAGTGGAGGCGGGGGAAGGGAACCATGTTGACGGCGAGCTTGCGCAGATCAGCGTTGAGCTGGCCAGGGAAGCGGAGGCAGGTGGTGACACCGCTCATGCAGGCGGAGACGAGGTGGTTGAGGTCGCCGTAAGTGGGGGTGGTGAGCTTGAGGGTACGGAAGCAGATGTCGTAGAGGGCCTCGTTGTCGATGCAGTACGTCTCGTCGGTGTTCTCAACAAGCTGTGTGGACAGAGAGGGTGGCGTTGTAGGGCTCGACGACGGTGTCGGACACCTTGTGGGAAGGCACGACGGAGAAGGTGTTCATGATACGGTCGGGGTACTCCTCGCGGATCTTGGAGATGAGCAGCGTGCCCATGCCAGAGCCGGTACCGCCACCGAGGGAGTGTGTGAGCTGGAAGCCCTGAAGGCAGTCGCAGCCCTCGGCCTCCTTGCGGACAACGTCAAGGACGGCGTCGACAAGCTCGGCGCCCTCGGTGTAGTGGCCCTTGGCCCAGTTGTTGCCGGCGCCAGACTGGCCGAAGACAAAGTTGTCGGGGCGGAAGATCTGGCCGTAGGGACCGGAGCGGACGGAGTCCATCGTGCCGGGCTCCAGATCGACGAGGACGGCGCGGGGCACATACTTGCCGCCGGTGGCCTCGTTGTAGTAGACGTTGATGCGCTCGAGCTGGAGGTCCGAGTCGCCCGTGGCAGTGCCCGTTGGGTCAATGCCGTGCTCGTCGGAGATGACCTCCCAGAACTTGGCACCAATCTGGTTACCGCACTGGCCGGCCTGAACGTGAACAATTTCGCGCATGGTGTCGGTGTTGGTTGTTGTTCTTGTATTGGGGGTGGGGGGCAAGAAGGGCTTGGTGCTTGTCGGAGGTGCTGCTGTAGTCGACTCGAGAAAGAGAGACAGAAAATGACGTTGCGAAGGCTGCTCAAACCAACCAACCGACAAACCAGCAAGCACACCACGCACAAAAGGCCAAGCCAATAATCCACAAGCAGCGGCAAACGTGGCAGTGGTTGTGCGTGTTTTCCCCCTTTGGCTTGCTTTTTGATGACTGCTTTTGTGTTGCTTTTGTGTTGCTTGTGGTGTTTGTGCGTGTTGTTGCGAACGAGAGGTTGCTTGGTAGCGATGGGACGCCAAACAAAACGACGAACTGCAAATATCTTTCGTGAAAGGTCGGCGAAATTTTCGTTGCGGCGGATACGCTGTGTCGTAGTGCGTCTTCGTGGGCAATTGAGCACATCTTGCGCTGAAATGACGCGAACACGTTTTCCGATTTCGGGGAAAGCAAAACCACGCCACAAATAGCTCGGTTCGTTCATGAAAACGAAGCGATGGATGTTGTCCGCTTTTTGTCGTGTTTGGTGGTGGTGTGGTGTTGTTGTTGTTGTTGTTGTTGTTGTTGTTGTTTAAGTTGTTGTTGTTGTTGTTGTTGTTGTTGTTGTTGTGTGTGTTGTTGTTGTTGTTGTTGTTGTTGTTGTTGTTGTTGTTGTTGTTGTGTGTGTTGTTGTTGTTGTGTTGTTGTTGTTGTTGTTGTGTGTGTTGTTGTTGTTGTGTTGTTGTTGTTGTTGTTGTGATGTGATGTGTGTGTTGTGGTGATGTGTGTGTGTTGAGTCACACGTCCCACATCACATTACACAAAACACTGCTCAAGTGCTCCTCCTTCACAACGCTTGCTCCTTCTCATTCATTGCAGTGCCACAGCCACTCCCAAAGCATGCACTCCCAATCAGATGAAAAACTGGTCAAGCTGTGCCATCTTGTCCTTTGGTTTCCGACGGCCGCGCCCACGACCCCGTCCACGCCCTCTGCCGCGGCCACCCTTGCGCCGCCCTAGATGTGTGCATGTGTGTGTGTGTGCGTGTGTGGTGGTGGAACGTAAGTGGACAGACAGACAGTTGAACGTGGTCGCAAGAACAGAGGCGTACATGTGGACATGCAAACACGTGTGCACCCCTACACCACCACCACCAACAACAAAAACAACAACAACAACAACAACAACAACAACAACAACAACAACAACAACAACAACCTCGACGGTGCATGGGGTGTGTTGTTGAGCCGTGCTTGAGGGACACGAGGGAGGACAGCAGCTCATCGCAGAAGATGCACCCCTCATACTTGGTCTCGCCTGGGGTGCAAGAAGGAAGACGAAAAAATGGGAGAATGTTAGTGGGCAGAATAAGAAAGGATGGTCAACAGGGAAGAAAAAGCACGGGTGCGTGTGCAGCAACACGAACATGCGGAGCAAGGCGGCTCCAACAAAGCCGCAAAGGACAAACACGCAAAACGAGACAAAAATGCGCATACAAGGCACACACGTGCGCACATGTAGACATGGCACACATACACACACACACACATGTACACACATACACACACACGTACACACATACACACACATACGCACACATACGCACACGCATGTACACGCATGTACACACATACACACATACACACACATGTACACACATGTCCACACACGCCTGATTTGAGTGGGGACTTGTCCTTGTGAAAGTCGACGCTGAGCTGGCTTGCGCCACACTCGCACACATTCTGACACAAGACCAGCGCACACACATGCACATGTGTGGTGAACAAGGACAAACGGCACACTTGGTGCAAGCTGGAGGGACACAAGAATCGCAATGACGTTATGTTGCGCTACATTGTGAAAGTGCGCCCCACACACCTTTGTGACGCGAATGTCGTGTGCGTTCTCGATGAGTGTGACAATGGTATTGCACTGATTGCAAGCCAGGCGCCACTTTGGTTTGCTGAAAAGCCATTCGCATCAACCATGTCAACAACAAAAAAAAAAAAAAAACGTGAACCAAACAAGAAGACCGCTGCTGTGCTGGCGTCAGTGCTGTTGTTACGGTGGTTGTGCTTTAAGAGCTTGGTGGTTGTGTTGACTTCAACGCCCACTGTCAACAAACACACACACACACGTTTGCACATAAACACACCTGACTGGGTCCATGACGAGGATGCCGCCGTCACAGCTGACGCAGGGAGCAACACCGAGGTTGATGGCGCTGTGTTTGCACAGGGCATTCACACACGCATTGCACCCAGAACCTACAGAAGCGAGAACAGTCGCGGCCGGGTATCCCACGCAACCAGGCAAGCACACGTAAGCACATAATCAGGCCAACCCTCTCGCATGTCATCACACATGCACACATGCACCATGCACACGTGCACACAAACAAACCTTTTGGCATGCTCTCGAAGGGCGGGTTGTTGTAGCAGTATGGGCAGAGCGGGAATGCCTTTCCGTTTGAGCCCGTCGAGCACATGACCAGCTACACCAAGCAGGCAAAGTAAGCAGCCACAGCGGCAACAATCACAAATGGATGGCATTGTGTGAATGCTACAAACGTGCACCGACGCAAATCAACGTGCACAAGCAAGCATTGATAGTGAGTGAATTGAACAAACACCACCTGTGCTCTGTGTGTGTGTGTGTGCAGCACCTCAAAGCCATCGAGTGGGCACTTGAGCTCCTTGTAGAGCATAATCTTCCCGCGCTGTGGCAGCGAGTACGTATCGTCGCATGTCGGGCAGTACAGGCGCTGCGGCTTGGCAATGATCAGCCTTAGGAAAGAAGAGGATGCAGAGGCAAGCGCAGCACGTGTGCGTGCGCGCGTGAGTCAATGGAGCGATGAGGACATGCACATTAGCTCCTCGCACACGTTCACACATGTGCGCGCACGTACTTGAGGTAGCGGTTGCATTTTCCACAGCGACACAAGTTCTTCCCCGTCTTGGACAGCAGCGTGAAGTTCACCTGAAGAAACAGAGAGAGAGGGGTGAGGAGATGGGGTGAGAGACTGCAGACGTGAGCACGCGCTCTTGTTGCAGCGGCCGAGTCGCAACCAAACACAAGAATGCGAGAACTGATATACACGTGTACACGCTCGCCGACTCGAATACGCGCTCGCATATGCATGTACACGCGCACACGCACACGCACACGCACACACACACGCACACACACACACACGCACACGCACACACACACGCACGCACACGCGCGCGCGCACATACACGCACACGTACACGCAAAAGCACACGCAAAAGCACACACACGCACACACACGCACACACACACGCACACGCACACGCACACGCACACGATGACGACAGCACCTCGAACAGCTCGTCCATCAATTGAATGTTCTGCTCAAAGAATTTAAACTTGCGCTTGTATGTGTCAATGAAATAGAACAGCACATCCTCGTACTCGGCCTACATGTGCGCATGTGTGTGCGTGCGTGAAAAAGTACGTTTGTGTCAGTGACGATGTGTGATTGCGGGTGTGGCTCATGTTCGCACGCAGCAAGAGTGCAGAAAAAGCAAACAGAAACCGACGACAAACTCAACCACCTTTCAACTCCGCAACCCCCTTCCAGCTCCACCACGACACCACAACACCACAACACCACGGCACCTGTCCGCAGGCGATGAGGGAGAACTGCTTCTCGACGGCTGCGCGCATGGTTGGCAGGCAGAGGTCATGGTCAATGCGCTGGTAGCCGTGCACCACCACCACCCCGAGGTTCGTCGGCACAAGCGTGCGCCCACCCTGCACAGTGACGTAGTTGCGCTCGCAGATGGTGTTGATGTGCTTTGGGATGCTCGCGTCCGTTCCAATCCCGTGCTTCTCCATCAGCGAAATCAAGTCACTCTGCACGCAACACGCAAGCGCGTATGTGTGTGTGTGTGTGTGTGTGTATGTGCATGTATATGTGTGTGTGGCATCAAAGCAAGGGGAAAGCATGAGAGCTAATGATGGGCAGTCATGTCACCACTCTTAGATTTGCGCATACGTGTGTCTGTGTGTCTGTGTGTCTGTGTATGTGTGTATGTGTGGTATGCCCATGATGATGACTAAGCTGTTGGCTCTACGTCTGCCCACCTGATGGAGTATGGTATTGTCCGCCCCACCACCACCACCACCACCACCACCACCACCACCACCACACCTCTGTCAAGTATCCAGGTGGCGCTGTCTGCTTCTCGGATATGGAGACGTTCTTGATGATGCACTCTTGGCCCTCCTGCATGTCCGGCACCACCGTGCTGCTCTCGGGCGACTGCACAACAGCACATGCAACCAATGGTGAGGCGAGAGTATGATACACAAATGCAAGCACACACAGTGACAGAAAACAAGTCCACAACACGCGCGCACACACGCACGCACACACACACACGTACAGACACACGCACATACACAAACATGCATGCGCGCGCACAAGCACACTCACCCACTCACTCACTCACTCACTCACTCACTCACTCACACATACACAAACACACACACACACACCATCCAGTAGAGGACGGAGGTGAAACCCGGGGAGATGAGGCGCTGGCCAGAGAGAGAAAACATCTCGCTGCCAACAGCAAGCGACACGTTGGTCACGGAATACCTGCAAGCAAGGAACACGACATGCATGGGTAATGACGTCAATGAAGAGGCTGTCATTGTTGCTGCACGTGTGGCTGCACACACGCACACAAGTAATACACGCACACACGCACACACACGCACACAAGTAGTACACGCACACACACACACCTATATAAACCCAAACACACCATCACAGACACAGGCACAGCAGAGCCGAGGTGGGTGTGCCATACCTGCAGTCTGGGCTGAGCGTGGCAATGTAGTGTCGACACACGAGATCGTACACGCGCCACATATCCCCTGACAGCTCGTTGTCCGTCGCCAACCGCGCAGGCGTGATTGGCGGATGGTCCCCTGTGGTGGTGGCAATGGTCATGGCATGGTCATGGCATGGTCATGGCATGGTGATGGCATTGTTGATGTGTGTGTGTGTGTGAGCATGAGGGTGTCAAGCTCGTATGGATGCGTGATGGCTGCATAAGCAGCAACAGCACTACCGTCAATTTCTGGCAAATTGCGTACCTTTGTCCACGCCGCCCTTTGGTTTCACGAGCGCGCCATCCAGCAGAACTCGTGCCTGCAACGCACAACAAGCGTCCAATCCAGCAAAACCATTCATTCATCCACCAAAGCCATTTCATCAACCCATCAATCCATCAAACCATCCATCCACCAATCAATCAGCCAAGCCACCCCCTCGCAATGCCAAAGAACGCCGTACCGCACCTCCTTGCCCCAGTCCGGAGAGCCCTTGAGCTCGTGCAGGACGGCAGCGGTGTCGAAGTTGGCCGGATAGGCAGTCGTCTCTGTGCGCGGGTAGCTGATGTAGCCCTGAGGGGAGGCCGATACAAGGGCAGGCAGGCGCATTGGACAGTTGGTAAGCGCGGAATGCAGGATATATGTGCAAACGGTCACACTCACACGCGCATACATACACGCACACACATCCACACATACACACACACATACACACATACACACATACACACATACACACATACACACATACACACATACACACATACACACACATCACACACATCCATCTCTGACCTGGATATACAAGCGCTCCGCAACAACCATGGCCTGTTGCGGCCCAATGCCTGCGGTGGAGTGGACAAGAAACATGCCGTGAGCAGCAGTCGGCGGTGGGAGGCGACGCACCACACTCAATTCAGCGTTTCTCTTGGCTGTCTTCAGGCGCGCTCCTCGCCACATTGCATCACGTTGATTCTCATTCGCTTGCATCGTAACCACACACATGCACTCACTCACTCACTCACTCACACGCGCACACATACACACACACATACAGACACACACAAAACACACATCACCAAAGCACGTACCGAGCCCCGCTGAGCAGATTCTGAGCAGCTCAACAGTGTTGAGCGCCGTTGGCCGCGGTTTCGCCTTCTCCTTCGACTGCACGCGCAGCACTTTCGCAGCGCGAACCTGGTGATGGTGACATCGGTGGTGGTGAGAGATTTTGTGTGTCACTACGCAGACAACATACATAGGCGTGCACACAAGCACGTTGGCATGCAACACACACGCACGCACACATATACCACACACGCACACACAAAGGGAACACACACACACACACACACGCACACACACACACGCACACACACACACACGCACACACGCACACACGCACACACGCACACACACACAGCCCGTCTTACGTCTTGGATGCGGTGCAGGAAGAGGGAGGCGACGGTCTTGTCAAACACACGCACGCGGTCCCACTGCAATTTGACGGGCGAGTCGTTGATGAGCGCCCGCACATCTAGCGTCCAGTATGTCTCCGGCTGGAACGTCTGATCACCGGGGGGGGGGTGGGTGGTGAAAGGGAGTGAGGGAAGATCACGCACGCGTACACGCACACACAAGCATACACACACTCACACTCACAATGACACTCACACACACTCACACTCACACTCACACTCACACTCACACACACACACACACTCACACGCACTCACACTCACACACACTCACACACACTCACATACTCACACAAGCACACTCACACAAGCACACTCACACAAGCACACACACACAAGCGCAAAATATCGCACGTACTTGGATGAGGTCGTGGCGCTGGACGCAGAGGGCGAGGGTCGGTGTCTGGCAGGGCCCAAACGAGAGGACCTGCGAATCAAGGTCGCCGTACTTGCCCTGAAGGCGAAAAGAGGGAAGAGAGGGTCATGTGTGGTTCAGGCGCGGGCAGGCGTGGGAGCATGATAGGGAAGGTAGGCCAACAGGTGATGAGCAGCCAATCACATGAAGGAGTGTGAGTGTGTGTGTGTCTGGCTGAAGTATGCGTTCGCTGTATGTGTTTGCGTGTATTTGCTCACTTTTGCACACACGCACACACACACACGCACACACACACAAACACACACACACAAACACACACACGTATGCATATACACATGCATGCGCACTTGGAAGAATCGGCTCTGGAAACGGGTGAAAGCGACGCCCATACGGAGGTCGAGCTCGCGGCGGGCGTCCACGCTGAGCGACACGTTCTTGTCGGGCTCGCCAAGGTGCTGCATGGCATGCTTGATGTCCTTCGCAGTGATGGCAGAAAACTGCACAGGACAACACGCAGGGGGTTCACGTGTGTATGTGTGTTGTGTGTGTGTGTGTGTGTGTGTGTGTGTTGTATGTGTATGTGTGTGCGTGTGTGTGTGTGGTGATGATCAACCGTGAGTAGATTGTCGACACACTCCAGTCACGCGAGAGAGAGAGAGAGAGTGTGTGTGTGTGTGTGTGTGTGTGTCAGTCACGGGCCAGACTGCTCCCCCACTTGACTCGTCGTCACCTTTGCGCGGAAGATCTGCTGTCCCGGGCGGTGGTTCATGGCGGGGCGCACAGCGTCAATCACCTGAGTTTGTGTGCACACACAAACACAGGCAGAGTAGATGCGTGCCACATGCATGGGGATTGAGCACCAACAAGGGATTGGCACTGGCAATCAAGCAGACACGCGTGCGCACAACGCACAGCTTCTCACAACACACACACACACACACACACAAAACAACACAACACAACACACTTCACGAACGTCAAGCGATCAGCAGTGGGACGCACCTCGAAGCAGATGTTCTCGCCTTCAGGATCGCAGTCGAGCCAGAGCACAAGAAAGTCGCAGCCTGCACACACCATACAGAAAGCCGCGCACATACGTTAGAACGCACACAAGCGGCGTTGTGTTCACGCACACGCGCGCGCATGCACACATCACAAACCACAATAGCAGCAAAACAAACCCTCCCGTCAGACTCCACATGTGCGCACCTTTTGCTTCGCTGCGCAGCGCATGCACTACGTTCTTGGACGAGTCGGCTTCTTGCATCTCCACATCCACGGTGAACAGGTCACCCGGGTCAGTTCGGTCCCTGGCATAACGTGGGATATGGATGGGTTTATCCACACATGGGCGTTATGTCGCTTCTCACATCTACCCGCTACTGCATCCTCCAACGTGAACGCAAAGTCTGTACCATCTGCCTCCACACGCACACACGCGCACACAAACACATACACACAAACGCACGCAAACACACAACCAAGTACGCGCACGCATAATGCGCTCACCAGTTGTTGTACTTGGCGGGGAACTGGACCTCCATTACGTGTCCACGCACGGACGTGAACTTGAAGTGGGCCTGCAGCCACGGGTGTCCCACAAGTGGCAAAAGGCAACCAACGCCACAGCCATCAGTTCACGTGAGGCAAGCAACCAAGTGTGGTCTTCCCGCCATGCTAAATAAGTCCGCACAAACACACCGCACAAACACGCAAACAACGAGCCCTCTACTAACCTTTTGGCCCTTGAAGACGCCATCATACTCCAGCAGCGGCAGTCCTGCAGTGCGTGTGTTCCCGTAGCTGCAACTGCCATTGGACAAAATCGCTAGAGCGTGTGTGTGTGTGTGTGTGTGTGTGTGTGTGTGTGTGTGTGTGTGTGTGTGTGTGTGTGTGTGTGTGTGTGCGTGTGTGTGTGTGTGTGGTTGGTGTTGTTGATGCTCATGTCAAGAGCAATGCTTATCGCTTGGTAGCTTGCTTGCTTGCTAGCTGGCTAGCTTGCTTGCTTGCTTGCTTACTTGCCAACAAATACACACGCCGTCACATCTACACATACGCGAGCTCATGTTCACACGCAGGCACACAAGGACATGCAGGCAGACCTGCAAGCGATTTGGCCAGTGCTGGCTTCTCAGCAACCTGCAGCACGTTCACCACCATCTTGCTGGTCTTGGCACAACTTCTTCTTCTGCTTCTTCTGCTTTCTTCTTCCTGTTCTGTTTGTTTGCCGAAAATTATGTTATTTCTTTTACCAATCTTCACAACTTGAGCTTGGAGAGGACAACAGCACAGATGAGCGACAGCGGCGATGTGGTGTGGGCTTGTCGTCTGCCAAAGGTTGGTCATCATCTTGGTGTGCGGCGTGGGCAACAAACGTGATGGGCAAGCATGGCGCGGTGCGACAGAGTCGGCGAAGGACTGGAAAACACATACATACAACACAGCCATCACACCCTCTCCAACACACAACACGAGCCACACACACCCTCACCACACACTCCATCATGCACACCCTTTCAACCACACAACTCACACTCCATCGTGCACACCCTTTCAACCACACAACTCACACACGCACCCACACACACACACACACCCTTATCCCCCTCCCGAATTCACCCTCAAACACCCCCGCTCAGGCGATGAGCAGTGCAGAGAAGGAAGAGCTGAAGCAGAAGGTGTCCCGTGCAAACCCTGCTGCCTTCCATGCGGCGTCCCGCTACCCAATCACGAAGGAAGTGGAAGACATTTTGGAGCAGATGTCCCTTGTAGCCACGCGAGAGGAATACGGCAACGACTTTTGGCAAGAAGGATCCTACTCCTGTTCGCGGTGTCATGGTCGCCTCTATTGCTCCAAGGATAAGTTCCACGGTCAGTTGCTCAGGCTGGGCTGACAATACAACGCTGCTCATCATCTGCCATCTTGAATCGTCTTGCCGAGTGGCACGCCCAAGCAACAAAGACATTGCAATCAGCGACAAACGCCTGCTGGTGTTATGTTATGTTAATGACGTGTTATGTTCTGATGTTCTGTTCGCAGCAGTCGAAGTTTTGCTGCCTGGTCCCCTTTTTTACTCACTGTCTTCGTGATGTTGTACACATTTGGTTTTGCCTGGCTGCAGGGCCGTGTTTGTGGCCGTCGTTTCGTCAGCCCGTTGCAGATGATGTGTTGTTGACACGCAAGGTGGATTCATACAACAACTACACGTGCGAAGTGCACGAGGTCTACTGCAACAGCTGCCAGCTCTTTCTTGGGTGCGAATGCAAACTGCCTGCATGTGACCCTGTTGCTCGTTGCGTCTGTCAGTGATTGGCCTTTCCTATGAATCGCAGCCTTTTGCTAAAGACGTGTCCTGTAAACCTGCATCTTCTGTCTTCAAGCCGTACCCCCGCCCCAGCAAACAACGGGCATGCTCGTGAGCCTTGGTCGCCACTGACTCACTCTATTGTGTGTGTGTGTGTGTGTGTGTGTGTGTGTGTGTTGTGTGTGTGTGTGTGTGTGTGTGTGTGTGTGTGTGCAGGCACATGTTTGAGGATGGCAAGGAGCATGGCGATACACACCCAGACGCGCGGTGGCGGCACTGCGTCCTGAGCTTGAGTCTTGACTTCGCGCCATCCCCAGCATCATCGGCGCAATGATGGGCAGCCCGCCGCCATCAAGTGCACATTTGTGCTGACAGTAACTGCCTCTCTGACTGAACTACACACATACCCGTCTCTGTCTCTGTCTCTCTCTCGTGTTTCTCGTGGTTTTTGCGTCTTTCTGGTTCAGGCGAGTCAATGGGGAGGTTTGTGTAATCCAACCACAATACAGCCCCGTTTGATGAGACTCCACGAACACTGAAACAGCGACAATCAGAACAACATCGCCACAACAAAGATGGAAAGTGGCACACACGCAACACTAACACGCCAAGCGAACCACGCACGCACACTAACTCAACACCAAGCCAGCAAGCAAGAAGCAAGCCACCGTTTTTTTTTCAATCCACTCAGCACCCAACAGACAACAACAACACCAACCCATGCATGGCACAACCCATCAACCACTCACACCCCTGACATAAAGACAAGACGAGAGATGGAGGCGTGTGCATGCGTGTGCATCGGATACAAGCGTGATGGGAGAAGGAGGAGCAAGGGGGACATGATGAGTGCTGCGTCTACTGTCCAATCTGCAGGCCGAGGCCAAACACCGTCTCGGACTTGACGTGGTCCAGGATAGCGGAGACGATAAAGGTGAAAGCGGGCACAAGCTGCTTCTCAAAGTAGCCCATCACAACACCGCCAGAGGTGATCTGACAACATGTATGCACACGTGTCGGTTTGTGTGTGTGTGTGTTGTGTGTGTGTGTGTGTGTGTGTGTGCGTGTGTGTGCGTGTGTGCACGGGTGTGTGCCAGCGTGTTGAGGTGAGGACTGAGTGCACGACCTGCCATGCAATGTGTGGCTTGCCATGGGGCAACTGTCAAACAACAAATGCAGCACCAACACCCATGTGCAAGCAACGGCCACACCTGTCCCCTGAAGGTGCTGTTCTTGAACGAATACTGCACGCCCACGGACGCCTGAACCTGCCGCTGCGGCAAATGCATCTCAAGCTCGCACCCGGCAGTCGTCTATGCAGATTGAGAGTGCATGCCGACAGTGCGTGTGTGTGTGTGTGTGTGCGTGTGTGTGTGTGTGTGTGTGTGTGTGTGTGAATGAGGATAACGCAGGTGTTTGTAGGTTAAGTGCTGTGCTGACGTGTGTGCGATAACGCTGCTGCGCAAGAAGAAGTGAGTTAGGTCGAAATGCATGCGTGTGGCTGACAGGAGGACAGGCAAGAGTACGCACGTTCTTGGCAATCTGGTGAACATAGGAGGCCTGCATGATGCCGACGGGGCTGGCGGTCACCGCCAACAGCCAGTCGGGCGTCTGGTACTTGCCTGCCATGCCACACACACACACACGCACGTACACATGTGCACAGAGATGGACATGCACAGCAAGGATGAGCGTGCATTCACATGCCACATGTATCGTTTCCACGCACACACACGCAACACAAACATTATTCAACACACGCACAACACCCACACACATGTTCACACACACACACGCGCATATTCACGGGAGGACGCACCGCCAAAGTTGAGGCCAGAGTACTCTGTCAGGTTGGCCATGTACTGGTACTGCAGCTCGGCGCCTGCACATAGCACAGTTTGCATTGACAGGAGAGGAGGGTTGGTGAGTGACAGCGCACACGTACACGCACACTCGCATACGCACTCGCACACGCACACTCGCACACTCGCACGTACACGCATTCATACAAACGCACACATGCACACGACTCCACGACTGCAGAACATCGCACCGAGGGAGAAGCGAGAGGTGACGCGCTGGAGGTAGTTGAGGATCCTGATGACGACAGATTGGAGGGGGGCGGGGTTGGAATCATAGGGCGATTAGAATGCATGGCATGAAGAGGTGCCGTCTGCACCGCATTGCATGGTACTCCTTGGCTAACAACAACAACGTTGCAACCACCAAACACACACAAACAACCAACGCCACAACACACAAGCACACACAAGCACACACAAGCACACACAAGCACACACAAGCACACACAAGCACACACAAGCACACGAGCACCACCGCCACCGCCACCGCACCATGTGCCCTTGTTCTTGGCGGGGTTGACGTTGAGCATCTTCAGGCCCGCAGAAAAGTCGCTGCCGGCAAACTCAGTCTGCACACGCAGCACCAAAGAGAAGGGGGGGGGGAAGGAGTGGATAGGCACAACAGCGTGGGTGTTGGTTGCGTGTTGCATGTTGCATGTGAGCTGTTGGTGTTGTTGTTGTTACTGATCGTTGCGTACACATGTGCACGCGCTCGTCTACATGTGTGAGTGTGTGTGTGGCAGCCGTCACGATGAGGGCATTGGCGGCATGCGTGGTGGGGCAGGGGGAAATCGGACGGCATGGTCGTGGTGACATTACCTCGAGTGCGGTGCCAACGACGTCGGAGCCATCCGTCTACAGGGCAAACAAAAAATCAAACAACAACAGCACACAGACACACACATACATGTGCGCGTACACACACAGACACGACGCATGAACATGCACACACACATGGCGCATTGTGTCAGCAGCAGCGAGTCGAGTAGCATTGAGACCAGCCACGCAAGGTGATCACTGCAACCTCGAATATAGATGGGGTGCGTGCAGTGCGTCACGCTGGCGCTTCGCACCTGCAGCTGGTACTTGAGCTTGATGTTGTCTGTTGCCTCGTGGATGATGTTAGCCATGAGTCGGCCAGCGTGGTCCACCTCACCGATGCAGATGGGGAAAGACTGCGGCAGCACATTCGCGAGCACGGCATGCAAGGTGTGAGCAAGATGCAAACAAGCACGTGCACGGAGTGAGCGGCAGCCTTACAGACACCTAGGAGGGGCACGCGTTTGAATTGCAGAACTGGCTCTGCGCAGGGGAATGCCCTCTCACTCGACACAGTCACCGGCACCGCCACCACCAACACCAACAACACCAACAACAACAACAACAACAACAACAACAACAGCAACAACAACAGCAACAACATCGCAAACACACAACGGCCCACCTCCTGGGGGCTCTTCTGGCGCATGGTGCCGATGTATGTGGGCTGAAGCTTGTACGCGCTCTCCTTGCCGTTGAGGATGATGGAGTGTGTCAGGGCAAGGTGCTGGCCAACGGGCTTCTGGAAGGCGAAGCGAGCGCCCTGGAACACCATAAACGCCGGCAGCACACCTGACAGCGGGGTTGGACAACGGGCGTGTGTGTGTGTGTGTGTGTGTGTGCGTGCGTGCGTGTGTGTGTGTGTGTGTGTGTGTGTGTGTGTGGGACACAAAGGATTGTGCAGTACATGCCGACGTGAGGTGCGTGCCGACAAGGCAGGTTCAGAACGTTGCGTGAACTTCAAGACTGTGCAAGCCTGCAGACTCACGCACACGCACAATCGTCCCCGCATGAACGCGTGTGTCTGGCGCACCTCGGATCTCGTTGTGCAGAGAGTCGAAAGAGCCGGGGCCAGACCTGGCGGGAGCAGCCTCCTGCTGGGCGCTGTGTGTGTGTGTGTGTATTTGTGTTTGTGTGTGTTTATGTGCGTGCGTGTGCGTGTGTGTGCGTGTGTGTATGCATGCTCGTGTGTGTGTGTGTGTGCATATGTGTTTGTGTGCGTGTGTATGCATGCTCGTGTGTGTGTGTGTGTGTGTGTGTGCATGCACGACAACACACATTCCTGCTGGTCGACAAGCCACGCACAGTGCACACACGCGCGCTCGTTCACGCACACGCACACACATGCGGCCCCCAAACGCAGGCATGTTTTCACTCACGCTGGTTGCTCTGGCTGTGCCTGTGCCTGGGGAGCGCCCGTGGCAGCGGCAGGCGAAGGAGGAGGGGGCATTGGCGCAGACATGGTGGAAGCCTGCTTGCTTGAAAGCACCAATAGTGACAACAAAATAGCAGTGAGCAGTGGGCAAACAGTGTCAAACAAATGATGGTGATGATGGTGATGGTGATGGTCGTGGTGGTTAGTGGTGGTGGTGGTTGTTGCACTGGCGAATCATCGACAGTGGGCCAGGCATCCATCCACACACACACACACTTGGCACCACGCTGCCACAAGGCAAGCAAGCCTCGACACTTGACAGCGTCAACAACAAGAACAAGCCCGACTACCAAGACAACGTGGGCGACAAGCAAGGCAAGGGAAGACCAGGCAACGCGCTGCAACCTCTTCATTCACTCACTCACTCACGTGTGGCAGAGACGGTGGGTTTGTTGGTGGAAGAGCTGCTGTGGGTGAAAGGGCAAAATTGACTTTGGTGCCTTCACTCTACGATTCGTGGCTTGGGCTTCAGGGGTTATCACGCACACTTTGCATGCAACCGTCGGTATCCACCAAGGTCAAATTTGACCTTGAGTCAGGACCACCAGAAACAAAGGCGGACACAGACACACCCGAACAGTGCGAGCTGTGCGCGGTGCTTGCTTCTGCTTTCTTTCGTGTGCTTCTGCCGAGCATGCTCTGATGCTGTGCACTGCTGCACTTGCTGCACTTGCGCACGAGTAAGTGATGTCAACAGAACCACGGCAGAAGTAAGCCTGCCTTGCCTGCAAGCAAGCATGCAACCATCACCATCACCAATGTCATGGCACATCACAACAACGACCCATCAGATCACAAGCGAATCACAGAATCACCATCTCCTACATTCTCTCCCCTCCCTGAGAACCATCACTGCACTTCCGCAACTTGGGTGGCAATTCATTTTTTCCAACGCACCCGACGAATCAAGATAGCAACTGCAAAGCAGCTGCAAGCAACGACAAGCACAAGCGCACTTACAGCATCACCGAGCTTCACAGAGAACTCCGTCGACCAAGAAGCCCCAGCGTGCAGCAGACGCCTCAACCTGCGCTTCCACCACCACAAGGACGCACAGCAAGCACACTGCGAGACCTCCTTCCATCGGTGAGAATTGACAATCATGGACGTCCTGCGCTCCGAAAGCAAGCACCCGCAAGGCCAGGCAGGGATGCAGCAAGACGCCGCAAAGCTGCAGAAAGAGCAGCAGGGGCGGCTGCAGCAGCGACTGACCCGTGATGCTGAGACGCGCGCCCGCGAGTGCTACGACACCCCCGACGCGGAGCTCTTCTACTCCAACGTCTGGGGCGGCGAGAACATCCACGTCGGCATGTACAACACCACCAGGGACATTGCAGATGCCAGCCATCGCACAAACATGCGCCTCGCTCCCATGCTGGAGCCGCTCGACGCGTCGAGCGCTGTGCTTGACTTGGGCTCGGGCTACGGCGGCACGGCGCGCTACCTGGCGCGCACCTACGGCTGCAAGGTCACGGGCCTGAACGTGAGCGACGTGGAGAACAAGCGTGCCGTGGCCCTGAACAAGCAGCACGGCCTACAGGACAAGGTGGAGATCGTGCTCGGCACGTTCGAAGACGTGGACATGCCGAATGCTTCCTTTGATGCCATTTTCTCGCAGGAGGCCATGCTGCACGCTGGCGACAAGGCCAATGTGGTAGCAGAGGCTGCGCGCATGCTGAAGCCTGGCGGCCGGTTTGTGTTCACGGACGTGATGCGGAGCGACGACTGCGATGAGTCCAAGCTTCAGCCCATCTACGACCGCCTCCACCTGCCCTCCTTGGCCTCCCCCAGCTTCTACCGTGCGGCGGCAGCAAAGCACGGACTGGATGAGATTGGCTTTGAAGAAGACACCGCAAACTTCACCGCGCACTACTCCCGCGTGCGCGAGGACCTGATTGCTCGCGAGCAGGAG